CTTCGAACAATATTGCCCAATGGATCTTCAACGTCGCCTTGAGAAAGAGTTTTGGGATTTGAAACAAGGCACCATGACTGTGATGGAGTATGAGACCGAGTTCAACCGAAAACTAGGATTTGCACAAAGGTTTTTAAGTACTGAAGACGATAAGGTCGAGCGTTTTGAGGGTGGGTTACAAAAAGAAATTCAGAATTTTCTTGTAAATCGTGAAGTTCCAAGTTTTGCCAAGGCGGTAGAATTTGCTCGAAGATGCGATCATGATCTGTCAATACCGGATGATCCAGTTCCGGCAGCAAAGCGACCATGCACTGGAAAGACGAACTCAGTCCCAACACATCGACCACCCAAGTTCTTAATGTCAAGACGGAGGCAGATGCATAACACAGCTCGTGCTACATCTCAGGCATACTCTTTACAGTCGAATGCCCCGAGGATTTGCCAAAGATGCGGCAAGAATCATACTGGACGATGCAATATTGAACCATCCAGTGTACGATGTTTTTGTTGTGGCGAGGTGGGACACGTTCGTACAACATGTCCGCGAAAGGAGGAAGCATGCTACTCATGCGAGGTTCTTGGGCATAAATAACGAAACTGCCCACGAGGAAAAGGAGCAGAAAGCAAAGCATCGGTACAACGACCGACTGGGACTACGACCTCCGTTCAAAAGGAGGAGGTACCAAAGGCACGTGTGCGGGCATTCCAGATCACTGCAGAAGAAGCATGTAACGAGCCTAATGTCGTGACTGGTATTTTTCTTCTTAATGATCGACCTGCACGTATACTATTTGACTCTTGAGCAACTTATTCTTTTGTGTCGCATTATTTTACCCGATTCTTAGAGTCTATGCCTTCAATGCTTGATGAACCATTCACTGTTAGTACTTTCAACGAAGAACTTTTGGATGCCGATAAAGTATATAAAGATTGTTTGTTAATTCTTCATGACTATAAGTTTTTGATAAATCTGATCCCGATGGATATACATGGCTTTGATATCGTTATTGGGATGGACTGGTTAGCCAAAAATCATGCCCACATCATTTGCGCTCATCAAATGATTCGGATAGAGAAGGATGACGGAGATTACCTATATGTATATTGGGAAAGACGTGTAGACGGTGTGAAGGTAATCTCTATGCTAAAGGCTCGACAATATCTAATAAAAGGATGTTCCTCTTTTCTGGCCTATGTCTTAGACTCATCCAAAGAAGTAAAGAAGACAGTGAAAGATGTGCCAATCGTATGTGAATATCCGGATGTATTCCCCGATGATTTGCCTGGGTTACCACCAGATAGGCAAGTAGAATTCCAGATTGATTTGGTACCCGGTGCCTCTCCTATTGCTAAGACGCCTTATCGACTTGCGCCGGCAGAAATGAAAGAAATGATGAACCAGTTACAAGATTTGTTGGACAAGGGCTTCATTCGACCGAGTGCTTCGCCTTGGGGTGTACCAATACTGTTTGTAAAGAAGAAAGACGGTTCATTCCGGATGTGCATCGATTACAGGGAATTGAACAAGGTAACGATTAAGAATAAATAT